GTAACGAAGCTATAGAGAATTATTATTGATTTGACAAATTATCATTATTTTTAACATAAAATATATAGTTGCAAATTTTCCCAATATTAAAGAAATAGCCTTGTATATAAGAATTTTGTTTTAACCCAATAATCTATCAGTACGTGTATTATACAGTTCACTCCTCTATTCCTTTACTATACCGATCCCAATCCAATTTAAAGCCGCTCCTATTGCCTTTACTTACATTATGATCGGCTTTCAATATACTTAATGTACTGCGAATGGAGAAATTTCCGATATGAGTTACCATGTATTATAGGATTTATGGGATTTCAAAAATTTATTTTGATGGAAGAAGACAGTGTTATAATACATACAGGGCGATTCAGATAAGATAATGAGCCTGACGATCTGGCGATGTAACCCAAAAAACAAATTTCATTTACGTTTTGATCTAATTTTAATTACGATTTGCATTTGCAATCCAAGTTATCTTATGTTGCTCTGATAGTGCTTTGACAAGCAATTTATGATTTATAAAACAACTGTTTGCCTACCTTTAATGTTTCATTGTTTCATACATTTTGTATTGGGTTTACACCGAAAAGACTTCTCTGACTTCTCTATCATTCCGCGAGAACTGAATGGCACTAATAATCGTTTTCTGCGTTGATGTCAGAGTGGCGTAAGATGATAACTTGGATTCAACTTGCAAATCCTAATTGAAATTTGATCAAAGGCGTAAATGAAATTTGTTTTTTGGGTTGCATCGCCAGATCGTCAGGCTCATTATCTTATCTGAATCGCCCTGTATATGCAATTTGGTCAGGCGTTATAAAATTTTGCGTCAGAAGAGGAAATTCGTTCCTACAACTTTAAAGTTGTTGAAGGCAATAATTTTACTTGTTGCAGCTTATCAAAAATGGTAGGAACGCGTATTTCATTTATCTTTATCTCAAGATTTGTTACATATTGGCTTTTGTTCTGTAATTTAACACGCCGTTAATTTTATAAAATAAGAAATGTGATTGACTATATCAACAACGTAGTACCTACTTAATGGCTCTAAAATAGTATGTTATCACAAGGTAGAGAACAAGTTTTTTATAGCGGAGTTGTTTATTTCCCGAGATGCGTAGCATGATGAAAACTTAATTTGCTCGCTAACGCTCGTGAATCAATCTGTTCTCACTCCATAGTAAACCAGCACTTTTCTTTATTTGTTAAACAATATACTATTAAATTTAAATTTTAATTGTAGCAACAATGCTTATCATTAAAATAAGCATTGTTGATACCAAGCCAATCATAGTAATATCACCAATGATTACTTATTTGGAATTTGTCCAGAGATTAAAAGGCGACATAAATATTGAAATTCAAATTGTGTTATTGTAAAAATAAAGAATAATGTAACTGTAACATAAAGTTGATTATACGGGGTCGTTAAAAAGCATGGCTACAGTTAAATATTATAAAAACTATTTATCAAAACTTATTGAAATTTGGTATATGCTTTAAAATATTTAAATTCTATCGCCTCAGATGTTTATCAAACTTCTATCTCCATTTGTTCTGGGGATACAAGGCTAACTTGATTTTTTTAAGGTAAGAAGGGTAAAGTTTAATATTTTTGAGAAGAGCATTTTTTTCTAACTTCAGTGATGTAACACATGCATATTTCATTTTATTCAATTTTGACATTATAAAGTGACATTATTAACTCCATAGTAACACGTATAAGCAATATATTATTCGCTAGTGAATTAAAACGTTTTAATTTACTAGTGATTTAAAAATTATTTCACTATTTCTCTAAAAAAAACTTTAATGAATAACAATAATTACTTTTATTTACAATAAATGTTACAATTAGTAACGCCACTAAAATTTACACCATATGTACCATTAATGGGCAAATTCATATTTTGATTTGACACTGATATTGACGCGGAAGTACATGCTTCAGAATTTGAGGTCGATTCCTTCTGAATTGTTTTAGATTGTTCAGAAATATAAGCCAGAATTATTCTCTCGTCTACTCCTTTTGCATTCTTCCGCTTCCTCCATTCACAAAAATTCCCATACTCTTTGTCGTATAATTGTTTAGATTTTACTGTCACCACTTTATTTATAGCTTCTGAAGCTTCTTGAATGACCAATTCAGGCACAAAAACCTGGTTTTCCTCTTTATAATCGCAGATTCCAGCCATTTTTTCCATACGCGTGACAATTCTCGCACTTTTGCAAATAAGCAAACAACTCGTTGTCATGGAAATTTGATTCGCATCCTATATGATTTATATAGACCGACCGGCTAATTTAAATTTTTCCTACATTTATTTGGTACATTTCGTCAAAATTGAATAAAAAAATATATACAATACGTGAATTAAACCTGTTTATTTGCTGGAAGAATTAATCCACTCGCGCTAAACCCGCTCGTGATATTAAACATTCTTCACTTATTGTATAATATTTATTAATCGAAAGTTGTCGAACTAATTAAAATTTAAAAGATGTAAATTTTTTAGCCTTGGAAATGTTGTCTTTTATCTATCGTCAGCTCTTTGCCGCCTGAATTTTGACCAAAAAATAAGTAAACTGTTTCCCAAATTTCAATGTGCTCTGCTAAACCGTTCTGAAAATATTTAGCTGTATCCATACTTTTTTGCGACCCTGTATAATTCATCATGAATTCGGAGAGAAAAAGGTGAGATACCAAGAACATGAAAAAATTCTACCTATAAAAATTTCGAAAAGTTTAGAGAGTTTAAATTTGGCACTTTGACTCTATTTATTTCTATTGGAAAAATACTTTTTCAAGTTTTTTTTTTTGCCACAGGCTATTAGAATAGGAAACAAGGAAGCTGTGTCCTAAATTGTAACTCTATTTAATGTTATTTGTGGCTTTTATTGGCAAAATTTTGTACCTTCACTAGATAATTATAAAAAAAATTATTTACAGTTTTAAATAGACATAAAAATGTGTCAAATGTCAAAAATAAATGTCAAAATGTTTTGACAGATAGAATTTTTTAAACATTTCTTCCACGTTCTTGGTTTCTTATCTTACTTCAAATTTTGCTGTGGGGTGCGAGTTCTGACACCCTGCATAAGTTCAATAAATTACTTTGACTTGTCATTTTTTCTTTTGCTATCAGGACTAAAATTAAAAAAACTGAAAATGAGGTTAGTTGTCTAAGGCCCGTTTTACATTTTTATGTCAGTCGAATGACAAATCGTTCAAAATTTCGTGTCGGCCAGTGTAGTAAATGTTTTTGGAAAAGTCATTTACCTAACAACCTTCGATTAAATTTTTTTAAGTTATTTAACTTTTAACAAACTACTTCATATCTTTATCTGTAGAAATGCAACACACAAAAAAATTGTTATAGTCTTGAAGGTTGTACTCTTTCGTTGCAGTTGTAAAAAAAAATTCTAGCTGACTTTTTCTGTAGTAAATTGTTAAAAACGTACCTTTTTATTCAAAAAAACAACTTATTTTAAAAACTAAGCCAAATCAACTAATAAAAGCAATAAAAAGCTACATCCAATATATGCCAAGAAACATATGATGTTTCATTTAAAAAAACATAAATTTGTATTGTAACTTATTTTTAGAACACGCTGCGTAGTTGAAAACAATTTCAGGCGATGCACTAGATTAGTATCTATCCATTTTCTATAAAGTCCATTTTTTTTAAACAATTGTCAAAGTGTTGTCATGTTGGTATCAACCACTAGTTATTTGATGTTATTACGTTGGCAACGTAAAATGTCAATTGAATGTCAGCCGTTTTATTACGAAGGCGCTTGCGCTACTGAAGCCGCAATTACCTTTCAATTTAAAATTAAAGGCACAACTTAAAGAGCACAGAATATGTTGAAGATGGAATTGGTTGGTATTAGAATTATTTCTGTGACGTTGCGGTTAGCAGGAATACCTACGCTGCCACGAACAGAGGCCTTTTAGAATCAGATTCTGAAGACGATTGGTGGTCTAAAAATTTTGAATCAGATTCTGAAAATGAGTAAAAATTTAAATTACCCATTAAATAAATTTTTCCCGGTTAGGAGTTGCATGTTTCCATGTCTTTATTTCTTGTCTTTTGGTAAAAAATTTGCTTCCACTTGAAACTTTTCTGACATTTGAAAATTACTAACATAACCTCAAACCTAATCTAGGGAGAGTTTAATCTACAACTGTTCCGAAAAAAAGATTTTAGGGTAGTACAGTCTGGTTTTTGAGGGAATTTTGACATTGACAATTGTTTAAAAAAAAAATGGACTTTATACATTTTTTCCAATTTCAACATTTAAAGGTCAATAATGAAGTTTACCAACTGGCTAACACCCTCTGTATATTGTATATTTAGTGATAAATACAACTTTCTTATTTCCAGTCCTCTGCAAATATACAAGTTTCTTTTTGCTTCAACATTTACACCACTAATCGTACAATTTTGCAACAACGTAATATTTAAAAAAAATATTTCAATAACTCGGTAAAATCATTAAGATCTATTTTTAAGATATTTTTATAAAAAATCTCCGCTTTCGTAATTGTTTTTCTTCAGTTTAGAGAAAAAATAGTTTTCTCTGTATGTTACCAGACTCATCTTAGTAAGATTGTTAAAAAATTTGAATCTTTTTACTCTGATGACAAGTTTTTTTTATTTTCTTTTAATAAATTACCCAGAGATTCGTCAAAGTATTTTAGGTATTCGTAATCAACAAAGTTTAAATTTTCTGTATTTTTCTGAAATTTTTGGTGTCAAAAGGTTTCCGGTTAGTGATAATTTTCAACTTTAAATAATTTCCCGGACAAAATGGCTTAAAGGTATGAGTAATTTTTAAGACAATAACCATTTACCATAGCGGCCTGACTTTGTGCTGAATTGATATTTAGTGAAATGTGTTTAGTTAAGGAAATAGCATTTCGTTGTGTCAGTCCGAATTTCCGCATTGTGTATTCAGATTAATTACAGCTTATGTCACAAATTAAGACTACTGACCTGTAAAGACGCAGTCATCGCTGAAACAACTTCATAAACATACTCCCAGGGGTGGTTAGCCTCCGGCCTAAACGGGGTTAAAAGGAAATTCAGGCCCAGCAGTGGCACCAGCAACATTGTAGCTCTGAAAAAACGAATACAATTTTTACAAACTTCATTATTATGCAAAGCTGTGAAAATTAATCGGGAATATAAGGATGAAAAAAATTCTAATTCAATTGTACGAAGCGAATTTTGCAAGATAATTTCTCAACAAAGTTACCTGAGAGCTTGGAGAGATGTTCTGGATGCTCCTGATCCCGATCCGCCATTAGCCGGTCCCTTTCTTAACTTGATTAGGAGAACTCTGACAATGTTGACCAGAAATATCACGTTGAGAAATACGGTAATGACCACCGGAACCATCAGGATTTTGTTAAAGCGGCCGTCTTGAATCCAGCATCTAGAACAAAAAGTGAAAATTGATTTCGGAGATTCTTAACAGAATTAATTATGCCTGAATTTCGGCGTGTTGAAGAGGAAATGTTCGAAACTTTAGCAAATAGTCTAACGAACGAGCTAAAAAATTAATTGAAAAGGGATTTAGACCTAGAATTGAAATTGTAGTTTAGTGGAGTGGAAATTATTCTCTTACTTATTATTCTGGTCTCGTTTCTAAATTGTTTTAATTCAATTTTGACAATTGTGGCTTTTAATTCATTTTTAGAATGATTTAATTATGTTAGCGCAAAATATTAAAGTGTACAGGTGTCTCACGAGTAATAATGAGCCTGAACTTTTTTTAAGCAATCAACATTACATTTCAAAGATAACGTAGATATTAAATAAAATATTTCGTTTTAATTAATTAAACAAAGTAATAATATTTTTATTTTTGACAAATTTCTGTCTGTCAGTATGGGTTTACTGCAGTTTTAAAAATTCCGTCTATTTGGATATCGCGCTGGATAGTGCAGTTCTCTATAAAATCTTTTCGCCAACATTTTAGTAATTCTCACCAATTTTTTCGAGGTTTGACTTTTACAAATTAAAGTTGAAGTGCTGTTTGGCCACTATGGTTCATTTTGTAAAACTAAATATTTTAATATCTACGTTATCTCTAAAATGTCAAGTTGGTGTACGTAGAAAGCGCTCACATTAATAATCAGCTAATTACAAAAAATATTTGGAGTAAGTGTAAGAAATAGCCTCCAGTTTTTTAAATCGCTATGGAAAAATATTAAAGTTCTGTTTATCTATTAAAAAAATATTTTGGACTATTCAATTCACCTTTCTTTTTTCAAATATTAGCTAATAAAATAGCATACTTTTGTATTCTATAGTAGCAGCAAATTCAAGCGAATATTCCACTGAATGTTCCTCGAGTGGTTGCAGAGAATATTTTAAAATAACTTGATTGCTATGAAAATAAAATTATTACCCTTGATAACACCATGAATGTGTATAAAGCGATAATAATTCATAAAAATATTCAACAATTTTTAACTACTGGTATTGTAACTGATATTAAAAAAATATATTCCAAAAGACAAAAAAATTAAATTAAAGAATTAAATGTAAATTTATAAAAACGTTACCGAACGGTTTATTATTTATCTTCTGGGCATAAAAAAAAACAGATTTACAAAACGTGTGAGCTAAGCGAAGGAGATTTGTAACCACCTGTAATAATAAGCTATTTTGAGCGATTTAAATATTATACAGAGTGGAATTTTTAACTGGAATAAAATTCATAATTTAAATATAAGCGATTTTTGAAAAAAAATCCTGAAACAGGTCGATTTTTATTTTTCCATGCGCATCATTTGACATACGATATATGGTTTTTGTTTATCTACTTTCTGAAATGCACAGTCATCTATAACTTTGTTTTTTAAATGTAATGGTATGACAAGTGACACATCGTTTGAAAGGTCGTTTTGCAAGGAATACAATATACTATTTATTTTCTGATTATTTTCAAAGCCTAAGTACAACCAATACATTATAACCTCACGGACACTAAATCAAACCTCATGTTTATTTATTTCTGTTGGAAAAATAAGTTTCCACGTTTTCTTGCTACAGGCTATTAGAAAAGAAATCAAGAAAGCTGTGTGCTAAATTGTAACTCTGTTTAATGTTATTTGTGGCTTTTATTGGCAAAATTTTTGTACCTTTACTTAATAATTATAAAAAATGCATATACAAGATCATCATTATCATTAAATAGACATAAGGTTCTTACCTAGCATTTCCTAGTATCTTACTAGGAACATGAAAAAAATGTTTAAAAAAATTATCTATAAAAATTTCGAAATTATGAGAGTTTAAATTTTGCACTTTGACTATTTATTTCTGTTGGAAAAATAATTTTCCAATTTTTTTTGCTACAGGCTATTAGAAGAGGAAACAAGAAAGCTGTATCCTAATTGTAACTCTGTTCAATGTTATTTGTGGCTTCTATTAGCAAAATTTTTGTAACTTTATTAAATAATTGTAAAAAACATATACAAGATCATCAGTATCATTATATAAACATAAAAAAATGTCAAGTGTCAAAAAATAAATGTCAAAATTTTTGACATAGAATTTTTTAAATATTTTTTTCATGTTCCTGGTATCTTATCTTACTTGAAACTTTTCTCTGAGGCGCGAGTTCTGTCGCATCCTGTATATTCTGTAACAAGGTTAGGATGAAAATTTGATAGGAGTGATAAACGCGAGCGTTAAGGTTGTCCGGGAGTGAACGGGCAAGTCGGTTTTCAGCACTTATTAGTCTTTTTCAAAAGCAACCAGCAATACACCCTAGGCAGGGTCCAAACTCAGTCTTTACCTGCGTTATGGGGTTGGGTTAGTAAGAGTAATAAATTGTAGTAAAAGTAAAAGATCAGTTCGCTAATATTTTTATGCCTTGAATTTGTGGAAGTTGCTCCAGAAATTTCTTAGAAAGCTAAATATTGTTTTGACTTTTGGATCTTATAAAAAAATCTAATCATAATTATTCTATCTACCTGATAGGTTGTACATATTTACTAATTAGAAAGCTGACAGATTCCATTTTCAATGTAAATTAAATTTTTCTGTGGGGTAACAAGACATACAATTCCATAAATTAAAATTTTTATAATCGAAAAAATTACAAATTTATGCAATTGTGGACTCAAAATTTTGGACATCAAGTTATGTCAGTTCAAAAAATATCAACGTAACCAACGCTTTAGTGTCATTATGATTGACGTTTGGATCTAAAACTTGAAAGTTTTAGTTGAAATTTATTTTTGGCGTCGATTTCCTAATACATACAATAATGCCAGCAGTTGCAGTACGTTTTTAACATAGTTATAATTTGTTTATTATTATTTTGAATTATTGTCATTTTTATTTAGCTGTCAGCATAAAAACTACAATCAAAAAAAAGTTTTACATTTTATGTCAACCGAATGACAAGTCGTCCAAAATTCCGTGTACGTACATCTAAATATCAAATTTACAATGCGCACTATAAATTCATATTATTTGGAGGGGCATTTATGATTTTTTAGCTACGTTTTTTTAGTTTAAAAGTGTCCTTGTTTTCCACTACAATTATTTGCCATTGACCACATTTATGAGTACCACTAACCGTAGAAAAATGCGAAGTTTTCATTTATAGTTATGTCTTATAAAAAAAAAGATTGTGATAGGCCGAATCATTTTTTATGAAGAACAACGATAAATAAAAAAACGATTTCTTCAATGATTTTTTTTTATAGTTGCCCCGCTAAAAAACTATTTCTTTTAGACTTCTGGCGAGCATTTGTTTAAAAGTAATTATTTGTTTTGTATACGCTCTCGAAACAAGCTAAGTCTTTGTGGACCCCAATAAAATAGTATGAAAAATGGTTATATTAGGTACTCAATACCCAAAACACAGTTTTTCAGAACGGATAAATCGATTTAGTTACTGTAGTGGCGAAATTTGTTTAATTAATAATAGGTGTAAATTTGTTGTATAATAAATTATTTTGTCTGATTATTGTTGCTGTTTATTAAAACTCTCAGAGATAATAAATAATCTTAGATCCCCACAAGACACACATTTTTTCGAAAAAAAATGGTCAGGTCTACTAAACACGGGAGATTCGATAGAAGTACAATTCCAACAAAATTAGCTTGTTTTTTCATTTCACGTCAAATGTTTCTGCTTCTAGTTTTCCAATAATAATAACTGAAAATTATTATGCTAATTACATGATAAAAAAATTACATGACCATAATCCGTCCTTTGCTTGGTATGGTACAAGGGCAGAGAAGCGGTGCTGGCAATGCCTCTAGTGGTAAAAGCAATGAACTAGGAGGCGTTTTTGGGCAAAATATATTTATTAATAATTTAAAAACAACAGTGTTTTATTACATGGTGTTTGTTGAATTTGTTAAGAATTAATATTTTGTAATAAATACCAAAACCCTAAAACGAATCTTTAGGTCTACCGTTAAATATCGTGACTTTTACATCAATCACAATATCTCAAAAACTAAACACTTTTTAAAAAAAAGGCCAACGTATCGGCCTATAGAACATTCTTTTAAATTATCTTACAAAAACCAAAATTGATTACTTGAAAAATGACTGAGTAAAGTTATTTTCAAGTTCACCATTTATGCATTTTTGTTCTTTTTTTAAAAGAATTGATTTTTTTTTTAAATCTCAAGGTATCGGCCTGTAGATTTAAAAAACCTTTATTTTGATGTATAATACATGAAATTCTGTTGCATATTAAGAGAGTAATCTTGTTTTCAATATACTAACGTCTCGAATCGTTTGTCGCGGATATGAGGAACCATGAGTAGATCGAATTTTGATTCTAACCGAGCAACAGACTGTATTTTCTTTACGACCAGAAAGTATGAATCAAAAACAAGTAAACCTGAACAAAACAAGTTATTTGACATTCATATCTAACACTGACAGTTTTAAAATCCATGACAATGTATACAGGGTGTTCAAAAATCGCGCACTTCCGCGACACTGTCATCGGGTGGTGCCCTAGACAACACGAGAAATGTTAAAAAAAATCTATCTCTAAAAATTCCGAAGTAATGAGAGTTTAAATTCTGCACTATGACTATTTATTTCTGTTGGAAAAATAATTTTCCAAGTTTTTTTGCTATTAGAAGAGGAAACAAAGAAGATGTATCCTAAATCGTAATTCTGTTTAGTGTTGTTTGTGGCTTTTATTGACAAAATTTTTGTACCTTTAGTAAATAATTATAAAAAAACATATCATTAAATAGACTTAAAAACATGTCAAATGTCAAAAAATAAATGTCGAAAGTTTTTGACAGATAGAGTTTTTTAAACATTTTTTCAGTACTCTGGGAGGCTACCCAATTACTCCCTTACAAGGAAGTGCACGATTTTTTGAACAGTCTATATATTTCGTTGACCATAATTATAAAATATTCTTTCAGTCACTTGTT